GTATAAGGACAAGAACAGAACGCAAGATTGTCCGTCAACTATTTTTGAGGAGTTGTTCAAGTATGTTGAGATAGAAAGCAATGGTGATCAAGAAGAAAGAGAAAGGAGACGTGCTCAATCTGATGAAGCACATGAAGTTGCTCAGCACCTGCAACTGAAGCCAGGTCCAATAGAGTGACATGGCTGATATAGAAGTCTTCTCTTTTATTACAATATATTTTGCTGATATTGGTGAACAATAGTCCTATCAAAGTCGTGTCAAGCCTAGTAATAGAGGAAGATCTCACATTTAGAGTAGATGGACATAATTACGGCCTTCATACATTGTAATCTGGAAGAGGAACAATATATGGTGTAACCGCAAGGTTATGAGATTCCAAGAAAAAAAAAATGAACTTCAGGTTGAAGAAGAGCCTTCATGATTTGATGCAAGCCCTAAAATAGTGATATATAAGATTTGACAGATTCTTGTCAGACAGTGATTATACGAAGTGCTAGGTGGACCGCTATTGTTTCATAAAAAAAATTATAATTATTATATCTGACTTCTTTTATTGTGGATGGCATGTTGATTATCTGAACATATATGAAGAAAATTTGAGACTTGAATAAACAATTATCAAAGGAGTTTGAGATGAAAGATTTAGATCCAGCTAAGAAGATACTCGAGATGAGAATCAACAGGAACATGAGTACAGATATAGTGGATTTATCTCATGTAGAGTATGTTGAGAAGGTTCTACACAAGTTCAACATGAGTGAGTCAAAACCAGTGTAGACCTACTTAGGTAGTCCCTTCAAGTTATATAAGGAACTGTCATATAAGTCTAAAGTTGAGTAAGCAAAGGTCTAAAGTTGAGTAAGCAAAGGTAGGAAGAATCCCCTATGCTTCACCTATTGGAAATTTGGTATATGTGATTATATGTGCAAGACCATATACTGAACATATAGTGGGAGTGGCTGACAGATACATGGGTAATTCAGGCAAACATCATTGGAAGATGGTGAAGTGGATTGTCAGATACTTGGTGGGAACAATCAACAAAGCACTTTATTCTAAAAGTACAGGGATTGATTCATACAGATATGTAGATTTAGATCTGACAGATGATATAGATGATAGAAGTACAACATAAAATTTTCACTTTGAAAAACATAATAGTAAGTTAGGTTTCCACGCTGCAGAAGATTGTTGTACTTTCAACTACAGAAACCAAATACAAAGATTTAGATCTGACAGATGATATAGATGATAGAAGAAGTACAACATAATATATTCACTTTGAAAAACATAATAGTAAGTTAGTATTCCACGTTGCAGAAGATTGTTGTACTTTCAACTACAGAAACCGAATACATTGTGATCAATGAGGCTAGCAAGAAGATTGTTTGATTGCAGAGCTTTATGACAGAACTGAGCAAAGGAATAAGGGATTAAAAAATTTCATAGTGATAATATGAGTGTTATTCATCTATCTAAGAATGTTGCTTTTCACGTCAAGACAAAGCATATTCAGTTGAAATATCATTTTATTCATTCACTTCTAAAAGATGTATAGTTGTTCATAGAGAAGATACAAAGTTCAAAATCGTGCATATACGTTGACTAAAGTGGCAACTATTAAGAAATTAAAGTTATGTTTGGCTTCAGTGGGGGTTTAGGAAGGCTGAGACAAAAGGTGAGAGACACTACAGGACTAGAATATGATACAGATATGGACGTGCAGTTTTTGGGGAGAGGAATTGGGTGCAATCAGTCTAAAGTGGAGTGTGTGTGGAGCTTGATATCAAAGCACCAACAACACCCAGAGCATTTCAACGCCCCATATGGTCACCCCAGTGTCTATAGGGGTACCCAGTCATATATAAGGGTGCCCCAACACCCAAGAGTGACACTCCAGTGAAATTAAGGGTGCCCAGGCTTCCAACGAACCAAGCAATAGAAAATTCAGAGCCCTTAATGGGCACAACTGTGCCACGTGATGGTGGTTTCCAAGTTCGGAAATAGAGCAGTCGGATTTTTAGTTCTTAGGAAGGGTGATACAATGCTCAGAAGAACGACTCAAGATGGAGCGCATGGAAAGGAAAAGCCCAGAAGTGGCACTCCTGCGTTATGAGCGGTTTCTTCTCCAATCGGGATTTGAGTCCTTAACTTCCATACGAAGAAGGAATCTCTCGGCAGTGTGTGTAATAGAAGTGGGATATAGCGAGCGGTGCTGTAATTTTGTGTTGGATTTCTAAGGTTTTCTTTACTGTGATCGAGAGAGGAGCGTTCCTGAGTTTCAGGCTTATATAGAGGAACTCTAAGTGTAGTGTAATTTGTACATTTGTCATTACTTTATAGTAAAATTTTGGTGTGGTTTGGCTCTATGATTTTTCCTATTCTTGAACTTTTTTACATTAAATCTTGTGTACTTTTCTTGATTTCTTGTATTGTGCACTTCTCTTCAACTTTTGTTCGTGATATCTCAAATCAATGTGTTTTTCCATGGTGTGATTTGGTTATGAATCGATCGAATCTGATTTCTCAGTCCCAACATTTTGAAGTTATCCACCTTGGTTCCTAGGTAATATTATACCTTATCCTCCATAAAGGGCCTATTTTTACTTTGAAGAGAGTAGGCCTACCTAGAATTAAAACATACTTGAATATAACTATTGATGTTTTAATGACAAACCTTAATGAGAAAAGAGTTTTTTTCCTCTAAGAAAGTTCCTCATAAATTCCACAGATGCCAATTTGCCTTCCATTATCCCTACAAGTTTATGAGAGTGGATTGATCATGTTACGTTCAATCCTATTGTAATGCCACATGAATATTTTGAAGCTCACACTTTCAGACTCAAACTTTCAAAGAATTGATAAATAAAAAGAAAATAACAAGGAGTTCAAACAATCATTTATCAAGATGCAATATGATGTATAAAAAATATCACAACAGCAATTGAAAGAGAACATTTTAAATGGGGATATTAGTAAAGGCAATCATGTTTGATGTTTTGGCCAACATAGTCAAAAGGATAGAATAAGTTATAATTTTCTTTAGCAACTGTAATGCTATTTAAGCAAACACACAATGTCCTTAGAGAAGTATTTTTGAATGGTCATTGCAAACTCTTCAAAATAACAAGCATGTGGTCCAAAGTCTTCACAATGATAAAGATCCTTTGATAATTAACTCTTAACTAAAAAAAGTCTTTTTTTCATGGGATAATAATATGATTAAGTTCAAGCCTTTAGCGCGAAACAATCAGCTCTGTTTAGAAACCATGGGAGTTAACTCAAGTCGCCCAACAAAAAAATCTAAATGCCCTAATTCCACAATCCAAAAATCTCAACAGGGTAAATTTCAACTATTGCCGACAAAGAGGATTTGGTGGTAACATGAAAACTTTTCATCTAAGGAGTTTCACAATAGTCATATTGTGATTGTTGTTCTTTGTCATGATTTCAAAACCACAAAATGACTCGATAAAAAATATTTATAAAAAAAATCTAGATTATCTCTTCATTGCAAATTTTCTTTTAAAATCAACAAAAAGAATCTCCTTTAAATTTGAATGATTTCAAACATGATGGGATAAAAAGCAAATATAAAGACATATACTACTCCCCAAAGTTATGCTAGATGAATAGGTTTGTTTAGGATTGTCTTGGTTAGATCCTCCTAAATTTTCTAAAACAATTTAAGCTAGTTCTTTAAGGACCAAAACATCTTCTTTTTGAACCTCCTTTAATGATCAGTTGATTAGGAAGAACTTAGCCGTGCTACTATCGTTATGTCCATAGCTTCGGTAATCTTCTTTTGTGTTGATTGATCATCATCATTTGCATATTGTTTACTTGAAAATCAATATAAAGACGAAGGAGTTTTCAGACTTCTACTAACTCAATGTCAAATAATCGGATCAAGTCAATCATCCTATATAAAATCTGAATCCCTTGATTCCGCAATCCCAAAATCTCAAAGGTTAAATTTCAACTATTCTCGACAGTTGACTTAGGAAGAACTTAGCAGTATTAACATCCTCATGTCCATAGCTTTGGTAAATCTTCTTCTAAGCTGACTGGTCATCATCATTAGGGTATTATTTACTTAATATTTAGTAAAAAAGTGGTATGAGTTTTTTGACTTCTGCTAGTTAAATGTGAAAAAGCAAGGTATTATGAATACTATTTCACCCATTATGACTGAAAAAATGATCCTTTTTTTGAAAGGATAGTACTCAGATAGGAAAGTAAGAAAAAGGCACCTGCAAGGATGAAAAAAAGAAAAGGAAAAAAAAAAATGTCAAACAGAGAAGGCTTAAGCAAGCACCAAGCAATTGATGCTTTTCCATTTTTTCATGTGCTAAATCTTCGTGAAACTATACTATAACCCTCAGAAGTTAAAACCAACATGACAAATTAACAAGAACAAGGCATATCTTGAAATATAAGATTCATGCAATATTAAATAATGCCGTATAAAAATAAAAGAGATAGCTAAAAACACTATATTATCAAAATATAAGATTAATACAACATGAAACCAATCTAGAATGAGATCTTTTCCTAGCATCTTATAACTTGAGAAGTTAATGAAAGGACTGATGCTAAACAAAAACAAACCCATACTTTTTTTTCAACATTTTATTTCTCTTTTAAATTTTTTTCTAGAGATAACAAGGTATGTTGAGTGCATGGAGGTCCCACTAATGCAAGATCAAGAAAGGGTTTGATTTACCGAAATTTAAATATGTCGAAAAACCTTTCCATTAGTTAAACTTAGGACCTACATGATAAACTAGTTATGCACATTTCTAAATGTTTCTAGGGAAACCAATTAAAAAAAAAATAGTAAGAGCTCAATGTCAAAGCTTTTAACATTGAATTCCATCAAAAGTTTTTCACAAAAACAAATAAAGCGAATAAGTTTTAACAATAGTTATAAAAATGATTTAGATATTTCATTTACATAAATGTAATAGTTATCCAATCACAAAGATGATCAACCCACCTCAGTTGCAAGAAGGGACTTCAATAACTCAGTTTGAGATGATGCTGCAAACATTCAAATAGTATAAGACTTTGATTTGTACCATAACAAACAAATTAAACATCAAAGATAATTATTCCTTCAAAAATATTTAAGAGTACCAGTACCTTTTATGGGATTACCATTGAGGAAAGCACCATGTCCACGAATACCAGTAAAAAGCTAAACATAAAAAGAAAATGAAGGATCAATTAGAAAACTTAATGATAGTTAAAGTTCCCAAACTAGTATAAGTGAAGATTTGAAAAAGCAGAACATTGTTTTGAAATCAAGTCAAAAAATGCACCGATATCGTAGATGAATCAGTTTTTTGACTAGCGGTGGAAATGTTTTCATCTTGCTTCCTAATATTATTAAACAGTAATGAAAGAACGTATTTGGATGTAAATTTTAGGTGATAGAAAATGGAGAGGAATAATGACAGACTGTAAAACAGATATTCAGGAAGAATGGAGGTTCTATGCGTTTACATAGGAAAGTTTAGAGGTTTTATACAATGCAAATTACACAAATAGGGAAATACCTTGGACGGTTAAAGGCAGATTTTATGCAATTACAACACAATAATATGGATCAATGCAAGGTGAAAAAAACATATTAACAACAAAGATCAACATGCCATAATGAGAACGTTAAGAAAAATATATGATAAACGTATGTTAACTGATTATATTAGAGAGACAAGGATGTACAACTGAATGAATTCAAGGTAATGGAAAATAGATTAAATGACTTTGGCATATACAATAGAGAAGGTGAGATGCACTGATAAGGCGGGTAAATATAGGAGAAATAAATTCAAAAAGCAAGTCTCAAATAATTAGGATAACACTAATGATGATGATGACAACGATAATATACTAGACATTGCAAGATTGTTGTTTCTTTTAGTGAAAATGTGCAATGTGCCCATTCCAGCGTGCCTTGAACAAGTAAAACATGTTTGTGCTTTGCAAAAAATAGAATGGAGAATGTGAAGTTAAATTTAAGAGGAGAGTTCAATGAACCTCACTGACTCTTGAAGTATATATTAAGTCTTTAAAATTACAAGAAAAGTGTCAAATAGTCCCTGACTCTTTGAAGGGGGTCATTTTAGTCCCAAAGTCTACAAAAGTGCAAGTAAGTCCCCAAACACTTCTAAGGAAAGCTAAAATAGTACACAGTGTGGACTATTTCAACTGATATTAAAAGAGTATAGGAATTATTTTGGCATTTGATAGATTCACTGACTCAGGGAATAAAATGGCTCCATGTAAATAGTCAAAAGACTATTTTGGTACTTTACTAATAAAATTACTGATAAATTTCATCCAGTGCAAAATATAATTAAAAGATGAAAGGTCTTAAGCTCACCTCATCAATTATCGGATTGTATACAACTCCCAAAATAAGGACCTTATTAATGGTGAGGCCAATAGAGACACAAACAAAAGGGAACCTGCAAAAGATTTGGTGATCATCTATTCCCAAGAAGCACGCATGGTGAAGAGCATATATCTTTTCAAAGGCGATACCCATGAACAAAATTTGTAGTTCCATCAAGTGGATCCACAATCCATGTCGGATCATCAGTTAACTCAGAAGTACCCAAAACAGCGGACGTCTCTTCGCCAATAAACTACAAACAAAGATTGACATACAGATGAAAAAGATTCACAGCCCGAAAAAGTCCAATGAAGTTTTATAAAATACGAGGCAAATACTCACTTTATGAGTAGGGAAATGCTTCTTGATGTGACTAAAAATAAGTTCTTCACATTCTTTGTCAGTTTCTGTCACTAAATCCACCTGCGTTTCCATCAGTTTCTCCCATGAACAACCCATTTCGAAATTTAAATTATCAGCAAATCAAGGAACAAGCATTCAAAGATCAATTGCGATCTAAGAGGCTGTCATTGTTTGAATTAACGGATCCTATAATACCTTTCTATTGACCTAGCTAAAATAGAAGGATTGGGTTGGTGCAAACTTTGATTTTTTAACCTCAAGTGGCAAAAGAATGAACAAGGGGGAGAGAAGAATGAAAACAAACCAGTCCTTTGTGTTCCACATGCTTGGTCTGGTAAAATCCTCTGCGAATGACCTGAGGGATCACCGATATACATATAAAAAAGGACAAATTCTTATGGTAAAACTCGTTTGAACAGAAAAAAGACCGAGAATCAGCATATAAATAATATTTAAGCAAAGCCGTGGTCTTATCACCTCCCCGGCGTTCTTTGCGGCATCCACGGCGACATCAAGGAACTCAGCAAGCGTGTCTGGAAAGGACATTGACGACATTGAATACAGCAATAAAGGAGATGCAATACGATGAATTGATTGATGAAAAGAGTGTTCTGGACGAAGAAGAAACTCAATAGCGAATGCAGAGAAGAGATTTGATGCATACATTTATCGGCCATATTTCTCTGGCCATCAAAATCTAATCTCGCGACGAGGAAGGATGGCTGCATATTTCTCAGGCTATCAAAATCTAATCTTGCGACGAGAAAGGAGGGCTGCTGATTGCTCCGCTTTCTCTTCCTTCTCTCGCCCTTCGCTCGCTGGATTTCCCCTTCGAAATTGAAGTTTTAAGGACCAAAAACAAAAAGCCCGAAACAAGTGGAACGGTTTTTGCTTCCACGCCCTGCAATTTTTTAATCCTTAATGAATGGCTCTGCAAATTTTCATTCGACAAAACATTAAACATGATGTCAGGAATTAATAAATAAGAATTGTGTGATAGGTTTGTAAATCCCTTCTATATTAACTATTTTCCAAATAAGCTTGAACGAAGAAGATATATAATCATGTTAAATCAAGATGTGAGTGTATATTGTGTGCTAGATAATTTATAATAATTGAGTGAAGATTTTAGATTTTAATTTTATACAAAGATATTGCACATAAACATATAAAGAAAAAGAGTATAACAACAACATATTTTATTTAAAAAAATTGAAAAGAATAAATCATGAGACTTAAGTAAAATAATCTCTTAGGAGGAGGGTGGACAATATTTAGGTAATGATAGTTGGATGATGATAGTTGTGTAATGCTGGTGGAAATTATACAATGTTGATTGAATAATGATTGTCAGCATACAATAATTAAATTATAGTGACTTTTGGTAGACGTGGAAGAACACCTGGATAAAGATGATGGATGACGGTAGCTGATCGTGGTAGTTAGACTTGAATGTTAGTTCGATATTTAGAATAATTCAAATCTCTAAATAAAAGAATCTATTAGCCCTTTGCAACTCAAGTCAAGAATCTCTCTCATGAGGAGAATAATAGTTTAATTATAATTTTTTTGAATGCATTTGATAAATCTAGTCAAAATCTCAAAATAATCTGTTAGATGTCTCATATTAATTCTTTTGATCATAAATTAATTTTTAAGTGTCTTTATAACTTCATAATTGAGTGATCTTAAACATGTTAGATTTTTCTACTTGAGATGCTTAATTTGCATAAAAGTGTGAGATTTAATGATCCTTCAATTAAAGTCTAGAAATTTTCAAGCACACTTCAAGAGTCTGATTTGTGCTTATTCAAACCCATATTGGATCATCTTTAATGTCATTAGGTTTATATAGCCAAGACATTTGTTTTAACTATAACTTTCCAAAATCTTAGTTCATATGATTTTGAATTTGGCTCTACAAATCATTTTATCCAATCAACATCAAAATTTGTATTTGAAAAAAGGAATTTTTAGTCACATAATAGCATCAATATAATACACACGTACGCGCGCAAACACACACACATGAAGCTAAAATAATAATGGGGCGAATATGAGTTTTTCCACAAATAAAAGCTGAAACATCCTTAAAGATTTTTGAAGATGTTGAAAGTAGCCATCTAGGCCATTTATGTCATTCAAACCATATAAAAATCTAAAAATTTGGACGACATTTAAGCAGCTTCAAAATTAGTAAAAATGTTTTTTTTTTTTTATAAAGTTAGTAAGCCAAATTTATAATTTAATTGAGAAATTTAAGAGAAACTTATTTTATCTTTGGAAGGTTTACATATATACCACTCAATTCCTACTTATTAAAATATCAAATATCTAACTTTAATTTTTACATATATGCAACCTTATATATGCATGAAAAAATTTATTTTTTAAAATAGTGATATTTTTTATGTGATGTGAAAAATTTGGATAATATAAATATAAAAAAAAATATAGATGTTATATAGTTATGTAAATACCAAAGAATTGAGTGGTATGTATGTAAATGCCATATCATAAATTATGTAAAACATTTATTTTGCTAAGACCACACAATTCAATGGGATGTGATGGAATTCTAGCATATACTTCAAGCATATTCCCAACATCGAATATTCGAACTACAATGCGATTCGCTGGGATGCCACGCTGCAAGTGGACCCATTTCCGAATCCAAAATCCAAATATTAAATGTTCTCACAAAACTATATATATATATATATAGTGTCACTTTTTTTTATAATTATTTGTATCGCATTATGATGTTGAAATTATAATTAATATATCACAGCAACATTTGAAATTTAATTTGGTTTAAATGTCGCGACAACTCTTTATGCTAGTGTATAATAGAAAATAGTCTATGCCGATCTTGAGAAGTTCTAACGGTCAAAATAAGATTCAAAATAAGATGGATTAGAATGTCATTCGCTCTTCTCTTTAAAGCGAGACTAAATATGTTATTTTTTATATTTTACTCGTTCTATTTTCTATAAATAGGAGAGTTATATAATGTGAGGGACTTTTTGGCTCCCCACACTTGTAAGTTTTATATTTTGTAAAATAAAATGAGTCCACAAGCCTAGGAACATCTCGATTCACCTCGAGAGGACAAGTATTTCTCTCCTCCTCTCTCACCCATCTCTCTCTCTCTCTCTTTCTCTCCCTCTCAAGTTTCCTTTCCTCGGTCCCAAAAGCTCTATCCCTTTGGGCATGATCTCCCAGACATATTTAGATTTAACATCTTTTTAGAAGCGGTGAGCACGAATCATGTTATCGACAAGAAGACGAGCGACGTTGACACTATTAGCAAAAAAATACAAGAAAAGCTCAAACATAAGTAGACTCACTTCACTCGATCGTCAAGAAACTCCATCTATTCTCCCGTAAATCTGCTCCCCACTTGCCTCCTACCTCCCTATCGTGCAAGAAATCTGAACCAAGAGTCTTTTCATCATTCACCTTTTTGCTCAAATGGGGATCTGCACCGACCTTTTCATTGCCTATCTCCCACTGATAAAAAAAAAATGAAAAATGAAGTTTTTTTTACTGCACGACCCGACTCGAATCTCATCCAAGCCGCCGAAAATTAAACACGCCTTCGAAAAGCACCTTTTTGTCATTTTTTTCTTCTTGTCAATCCATTCGAAAAAGCACATTTTGTCGCCTTTTGGTTTTTTGTTGTGTTTTTCATTTGCGCATCCGACAGCTAGGTTTTTGAAGCGTTGAATGTCTCTCTCAAATAGGAAATGTTGATTGAATCTCAAAATAGTTGTAAGAACTATGAAATTGAGGTGAGTTTAGCTGTGCATGAAATGGTTTTATTTTTGTGGGATTGTAGCACTATTTAGGTTTTATATTGGATAATGTGGTGTCATGGGGTTTAGCGTTTAGGTTATTGGTGTGTTATGTTGGTATTAGTATGTTGTTTTATTCTTACTGACGAGAACTTTCTGGTTTTTTTATTTGTTATTGCAGTGTTGTGATGGGGTTTAGATTGTGTTAGTCTTGTGTTATTGTGGTGTAGGTACTGTATTACTGGATGTGTAACTTTACTTTTTTGTTGGAGTAGAACGTTTCATGGTGTTATACTATTTTTTCTAGTTTTATTGTTTTGTCATTGGATGGGTAATGTTAAGGTTTTATTGATGTGCCTTTGCCTAGGGTTTAGGGTTATCTTGTTGTTTCGTGGCATTATTGTGGTGTTAATATGATGTTATTCTAGTATTATTGTGGTGTTATTACTAGAATTATTAAATGCATAATGAAACGAATTTTAACGTGTTATTTTGGTGTTCTTTCTGAGTTATTGATGTGATTTTGTGGCGTTAATTCAGTGTTATTTTGGTGTTATTATGGTGTTATTGAGATTATGAAGGTTCTAGTAGAACATATTGGTTTTATTGAGCTTGTACTACTCGATCGATATTATTTCCATGTCTAATAAAGCTTAATATGTTTTATAAATTTGTAGTTCATCGAGCTTGAAATTTTCATAATAAGAAGGAAGCATATGAAAAACATTGTGCCTATGCACACTATATTGGATTTACTGTGCAAAAAAAAAAACACAAAAGTTTTTAGCCAAATTCAAAGAGGATTAGGACAAAGGAATTTATTTGTGATAAGGCTAGTTTCAGGAAAGAGTCGAAGTTCAATAACACAATGAGGTTCAAAAGAGTGGACACAAGGACCGGTTGTCTAGCCATGATTTGATATGTCGTTGATGTTGAAGATAACTGATCAGTTAAGAATTTTATATAAAGCCATAACCATCCCTTGACGGAGGCCGGTGATAAGCATCTATTGAGTTCGAGCAAAAAAATAAGTGACATCATTGCAGATGTGCTCGGATCAATGACAGAGTCAGGGATTAGAGCCACTTATGCATTTTGCTTTCTAACTACATAAGCCGAGGGAGTGGAGAATCTTGAATGCACGAAGAGAGATGCCTACAATTTCACACAAAGAGAGAGAAGATATAGAATCAAACATGGGGATGCTAACTCTCTAAAGCAACTGTTCATGGAGAGACAAGCTAAGGATACCATGTTTGCTTGGGACTTCCAAAATGTTGAGTCCGATCGTTTGTGGAGTTTCTTTTGGAGTGATGGGATGTCCAAACTTTATTATGATTGCTTGCTTTGGGGATGTCATAATCTTTGATACAAGTTATAGATTGAATAAATATAATTTATGTTGTTCTCCTATTGCTGGTATGAACCATCACTGACAAAATGTTCTATTCAAAGTTGATTTTTTATCAAACAAATCGATTGGCTCATATAAGTGGCTATTTAAAACATTTATCCGAATATTGAATAACATGCACCCAATTACAATATTCAGTAATCAGGATCAAACAATGGCTAGATCCATTGAAGATTTTTCGCCACACACAGGATATAGATTATGCCAAAGATAGATATACAATAAATTTCTTTCAAAAGTCCATTGTGGTGTGGGTAGTAAAAGAGTCAATAACCTTTTTTATAAATGCATGATCAGATGTGACTCTAAAGAGAAGTTTGAAGAAATTTGGGGTATAATGACTGAGAAAGGTAATCTACACGACAATGTCTGGTTGGATGATCTATACAATATCAGTCATAAGTGGTAACCGACCTTTAATAAAGAAATATTTGGGATAGAGATCCTATCAACTCAAAGAAGTGAGTCCACTAATAACATTTGTCATGCTATCTCCAAGCCAAAAGACTCCCTTACTAAATGTTTTCCAGGTCTTGAAAATATCATAAAATCTTGGAGAAGAAATGAGAAGAATGAAGATTTTAATTGTGAATAGTCTGTAATTGTTCTCGTAGTAAAAAAGTTGTCCAGTGTTAAGGCGGACTTTTTTAATTTATACAAGAAAGTTATATTCGGTGTTCGAAGCAGAGTTATTAAATGGTTTGTGTGGCCTTGTTGTGGAGTGT